CATTTTAGTTTTTTTTTTTTTTTTTTTTTTTTGTGACACTAACACTGTTGCGTTCCCATTCATTTAAGAAAGACGAGCTGCAAAACCTATCCTGCCAGGAACGGAATTACAAACTGGCAAACTGCAACACAGACGACGCTGTGAGTAATGATCATCTTCTGTGTCACTCAGAGATTTGGGCACACCTTTTGGTGTTCCCTGAATAGGTGTGACTGATTTCTTTTTTTTACTTTTATGTAACAGTATGTCCTAACAGTGGACTTGTTGTCCATTGCTTCAAATGTAAGTTGGGACACAGAACATAATAGAACTGTTATGTAATTCTACTTTTGTGCAAACCAGCTCCATTACCGGAGCACAAGCAGACCAGACACTTTTCCAATAAATTTGCCAGTATGAGCATTTATGCATCAGTGTCCAAACCAGTCACTTTCTCCATTTCTCTATATTGAGAGGAAAAGCTGGGTATTTTCCCTGTGTGTTTAAAAGCAGATCTGAGCTTCTGTGGTCATCGCCTTGCCCTTAACTTTCATTATGTTATATTCCCGCAGGATATTGTGGAAACCTTGTCCCATCAAGCCTGTGAACTGCAAAGGCTAAAACGTCCGAACATGACAAAGTTGGCCGAAATTGTCCTAACTTCGATAAAATGCACTTGTCCTGAAAATGCGGTAAGAGTACTGCCGAATTTGTTTTTTATTTTTCAATTTTTTTTTATGTTTGATTATTTTTTGGGAAAAAGGGAAACAAAAAATAGGAAGGGGTTTCTTTTGCTTTTGTCTCTTCATGAGATGTGGAATTTATTATCTTCCTAGGAATGTTGGCAGGTTCTTATGCTTCCTTTTGTCAAGAGAATGAACCGACTGCTTTGTCGGCAAATAGGCGTTTGTATTCAAACAAACGCTTATTTGCTGCTAAATCTAACTTATGTGAATTCTCACCATGGAAGTGACAGTTAAGTAGCAGGAGCAGCTGATCAAAATGGAAATCATTTTGTCAGCCTTTTTGTTCATGTGATAATATTGTGTGATTTTTACTTCACTAGCAGCCGTAAGTTAACATACCAACTACATGGTATAGTGTATACATGTCAAAGGTGAAAATAAAACCTCAATTGTCCCTGCATAGCCTCTCTTTACACTGTCATGTACACTTCTGCTTTAGCTGATGAGAACTTCAGTGAGATTTGATGATTCAGGCTGATTGTTAAAGTCTGAGTCATAAGTCATAAGTCTGTTGTACTTCAACAGGCTTTATATTATTGCTTCACATTCTCGCATAGTTTATTTAAATTTTTTTTCTTCGCTCTCGGTCAAAGTAATGAAAGCGGTTTGGAACCAACTTCATATTTTTAAGATGTGGAGTCGTTCGCCTGGTTTGTTGATTACATTAACCTGATATAAATTTATCTTTGATTGCTTGTGAGGATAATAAATTATATTGATGTGGGCCAGCATGAGACTCTCGTGGTACAATATGCTTGAGAGAAAAATACCATGCTTTGAGAGCATTTGGAATACTTGCACTTATTGCCGATGGCATAAATATCAAAATTATTAAAAATGTGAAACTGAAAATGACATAGGTGCAAACACTAAACATTGATCTTCAGTGGATTTTGAGGAACATAATTTCCTGTCACATCTTTAAAATGCGTGTCTGACCTCTGACCCTCCACTGGTTCGAATAGCGCTTTGTATACACTGTGTTCCAATTATGCAAGTGATATTTTTTCAGATTTTCTTAAATGGTCAATGCAAATGATGGTCAGTATAATTTTCAAGTCATGAACTTTTACAGTATAAATCCAATTTTACGGAACAAATCTTCCCATGAGAACAATATTTTTTCCCAAAAAAAAAAAACCTCAAAATGCACTGTTCCAAATTATTATGCACAGCAGATTTTCTAAACATTTTATGGATGAAAATGTTTAGAAACAAAATTTAAAATAATTTTTGGCCACAATTGTCCAAACTTCGATACAATGCACTTGTCCTAAAAATGTGGTAAGAGTACTTACTGCAAAGGGTCATTCTTTGAATGTGCAGCATTAAGTGGTCACATGTACTAAAATCAAAAGCTATCTTTCAATCACAAACATCTTAACAGACTGAGTTACATGTTAACATAGGACCTCTTCTTTGATATCACCTGCACAATTCTTGCATCCGTTGAACTTGGGAGTTTGTGGAAAGTTTCTGCTTGAATTTCTTTACAGGATGTCAGAATATCTTCCCAGAGCTCCAGTTTAATATGAACTGCATTCCACCCTCAGTTACTCCAAAGGTTCTCAATAGGGTTGAGGTCAGAGGAGGATGGTGACCACACGATGAGTTTTTCCCCTTTTATGCCCATAGCAGCCAATGACACAGTGGTATTCCTTGCAGCATGAGATGGTGCATTGCCATGCATAAAGGTACGACTCTTTTTTTGAACCAGGAAAGAAAGTGATCAGTCAGAAAGTACATTTACTTTGCTGAGGTCATTTTCACACCTTGAGCTCTCTCTCTCTCTCTCTCTCCCCATGATTTGGGCGTAAATCATGACTACACCGCCAATCCACTGGATCATCCACTGGATCATCCAGGGTTGCACAGCGGTCATCAGTAAACAAATCTGTTTGAAAATGAATCTTCATGTACGGCTGGGTCCACTGCGACCGTTTCTGCCTGTGACCACTGGTTAGGGGGGCCCAATAATCGGATCATGCACCACCAGCCTCTGGAGGATCCTCCATCTCGAGGTTCCAGAGGCACCAGCAGCTTTAAATAAGTGTTTGCTGCTTTTTAAGGGGATTTTAACAGCTGCTCTCTTAATCCAATGAATTTGTCCAACTAAGAAACCTTCCTCATTATGCCTGAATCAGCCATAAATCTCTTCACAATACAATGACAAGGCTTCAGTTTTCGTTGAATATGTAATGTTTTCATACCTGGTCATACGGCACTACACTATCTGATGATTTTCAGGAGCAGAGAGATCCTTTCTCTTTCCCATATTGCTTGAAACCTGTGGCCTGCTTAATAATGTGGAACATCCTTCTTAAGTAGATTTCCTTTAATTGAGCTCACCAGAAAAACTAATCAGTCCAGCTCTCTGAAATAAATTATAGTGATTCAAAGATCCCTGACACACAATACCATCTTTAAATTTAATATCTATGGATTTATACTGTGACACTTAAATCCAATTTGCATAATAATTTGGAACATTGTGTAAAAGGTGTTTAAATCACATCAGGAAATTACTTTTGCTGTATTGTGACTATAACGTTAAAGTATCAACTCACCAAAGGTGCAAATAAGTTCAATCTTCTACCATAGCTTTTATCCAGCTTAATCATTACCTAGGTCACGGTGTCTTGGTGTCTGGCACACCAACAAAGAAAGTATGTCTTCATTGGCGCCGACAAAGCATCTGCATAGTGCAGCAAGAGGTCAAGCAATATTAAATCAGAGCAGTGATATCTGAAAAGTAACTGTGTCGAGTCTGTAAGAGTGGCATATGTGAGGCATACATATGTCTGGGTACTTGTGCAGTTTTTCCAACATTTCCACAAAATCTGTGGCAACCTTGCTTCAAATTATTTATGCTAAAGTGCCAAATACATATAAATTCAGTACTGCAACATGCATTTCCACACAAGGCAGATATCAGCCTATCCCTAAAATGCAGATATTTCTAAATAGTAGCTATAACTAATAGCCATAACTATTTGACTCAACACTAATTAGTATGTCTATCTTTATTTAACAGACAAAAGACCCCAGTTTGAGGTCACAACGTCGGAGGACTCCAAGAAACCAGAGGAAGAAGATGAACAAACGTTGCAAAGCTAAAGCAATTCTGTCTTCCATGACTGTATGCTACCAGAGGCTGAACATTAAGTATATGGATGCTCGAAACTAAGCTGAAGCACAGCATGAAACTAAACAGAAAAAAAAAAAAAAAACTTAACGTGCTGCCAGTTCGTCTGAAATGTGCTGTCGTTTCGCACAGCACATTTAACTGGAAGAAGCTTCCAGTTAATTCAAGCTTTTCTGTAAAGTATCAGTATATTCGTCTTGCGGCTGCTTTGGGTGTTGGACGACTACTGACTCTTGAGATCAGTTTCCAAGCTATACAGAAACTCATTTAGCTAAAGGAAGCAGACTGGACTCTCCCACGCTACATGGAGGAGCTGTATTGATCTACTGCTACAAAGAGGAATTCACTTAAAACATAAAAAAAGGCCTTCAGAATGCAGTGTTGAAGAGGTGATTAGTGAATTTATCCTTTTTCCAAAGAAATCAAAAAAATATATAGGCTATTAGAGCAAAAAAAAAAAAAATGCTCTGGTTTTCCCTCAGCAGTTCAAACTTTTTCTGAAGATCAAACTGGAAATGTTATGGTGCTCAAATGCAGTTTTGCTTTCACTTCGAAAAAAGAACGACACAACGAGTCTTGACATATTTTTCTTATCTTGGTTATCTGAAGCCGGTTGTTTTAGGCTGTGTGTCAAGTCATCGTTGCCGTCTTCAGTGACAATGTATTCATTAGTCGCTCGGAATGATTGACATATTAAAAGCATATTCTGACACAGGTGGCTGAGCTCAGTTCACAAGCCTTATTACTTACGTGGGAGACATTGAAGATGCCGTTCCCACAACTTTTGGCCGGAGTTGTCATTAATGATACATTTATCATACAAAAAGAAAAAAGAAAAAGAGCCAACTATGCTGAGCGACCAATCTCGCACACAAAAAAAGAAAAAGTTGAAACATGCAGCCTTTGCTCTTTTTCTCTTCTATTACTTTCAGTGCTGCTGTTTTCTGCCTTGTGCTTAGAAGGCCTATTTTTAAGCAAGTGAAGTATATTTGTTGTGTATGACATTGCATGGGTTTCCCCATCTATATTTATAATTAAAGATCTTACTTTGCACCTATAACTCTAATGCACCTTCTATGACATCCCTTTTGGCATCAACTTTCTTATGCAAGTCAGAAATGAATCACTGGTGTCTTCAAAGAAGTTTATTTATGTGGTTGACATACATGACATTAAGGGCACAACCATATAGAGGTTAAATGCTTTTAACGCAAGAAATCCAACTGTTTGCTCAGCTTAAATATTTCTCCTTTGAGTTGTTTGGAAAACCAAACAACTCAAACCATTGCTAGGAGTAGAAAATGACTTCAATAAGAACAGAGTGGATAGAGAAAACTTGGATAGGCGCCGACAAGTCCCACAGAAATATACAATCTAGTGTCACTGTAGTTGTGATTCTACAATTCGTAATTTGTTGAACAATGAATCCATAAGAAAAAAAAAACAATTACACTTAAAAAAATTAATAATTGTGAGAATCATATCTCATTTCATTCAGCATAAATTAAATGGATTAAGAAAATAAATAAATTTCACTTCATAAAATAATGGGAGGAGAAGGGGGGACAGAGTAAAAACCACATTTGCCAGTAGCAGTAGTATAATGGGACATGTCTGTAAAGTGACAGCTTTAAAAACTGGTTTCTATAGGGAGTGATTTCAGTCTGAACAGGGCGGTAAGAGAAAAGTTCCAACCTATTTTTAAATGTAAAAACCACATTGCGTTCCCTCAGTAGTCAGTTATATTGCACTTTAGTATGAAAACCTTCTGTTTGAGAAGAGAAGACTGACTGAATGCGCTTCAGGTCGGGATACAAACTCAGTAACAATCACAGCCTTCTCCAACAAGCTTCACCAAACACTCTTCCCAGTTTCACTACACACTTCTCGGGGCGGATTTCTGCACACTTGCTAATCCCAGGGCAGTAACTTTGTTTTTGATACTTACATAGGAAGTAGTGAGAAGGAAGGTAAGATGATTTGCATGGGTTTTTCCCCAAGAAAGGAGCCGACATGCATTAACCCCTCAACGGTCACCGAAAACCTTTACACTTCAGACAATTGGTCCAGGAGGACGCCGGTGTCCTCTTGACAGTTAAGGGGTTTGAAATATTTAAAGCTGTGTAGTTTACTATGAACACCGCTCAAAGAAAATAATTCAGCAACATACTGAGGAATAACACTGCCATATTGTTGCATAGAGCAGTATAGCTTTTATCTTAGCCATGCCCCTCAGCTAACAGGAAACCAGCAACAACGTGTGTCAGAAGGAAAATCTGTTCGTCGTCTTTATTAACTTTGGTGATATTCTTCACTTCTATCTAAGCACAGACGCATCCCTACTTTCCTGTTCCTTCACCGACTTTTGACCAATGTCAGATGCACATCCTCCGAATCCCACATTCACAGCAGAAATTGGCAGAGTCAACAGGGTACTTGGCGCCACAGGCGTGGCAGAACTTGCTCTTCACACCGCCGTTGACATCATTCCTGAAAAGCAGAAAGTAAAAAATGTATTAATAACTGGAGATCTGCAGGACTAGAATATTTTTAAAAAGCAGCAGCAACAAATGACATTTCATTAAAAAGAAAAACAATAAAAAGCATGGCAGAAAAAAAATATATGAATTTGTAGCTGCTGGATTTTAAGATGGCTGCAATTCACCAGCAACACCACAAGAGGGAGGTGAAGATTGGAGAGTACTTCTCCCAATGACCTCCTGAGAAGCTGGAGGTAATTTACCCAGACATGTTGGTGTCGGCTTTCTTTTTGTTGGCTCCTATTCCAACCTGAGAGTTTCTCACACCTCCACCCACACCTCCGTAGCCTGAGCTTACACCTCTGGCCTTATTTCCCACACTGAGAGAGAATGACAACAAAAGCAGATGACAGTGAGGACTGGATTTGGAGACAGTGATCTCTACTACAAGACATCTATCTGAACTAATTCTGGCCTAAAACAATTGGGAGTCACAAAATCTCCTACATTCCCACATTTATTTGACTGTCAGTGCAGTCTGGATTACATGTCTTCATGAGAATACTGCTTCAATAAACTATACATTTTAAAGTAATTTGATATGCTTTTATGTAATGATTACATTTTAGTTAACCCTCCATTAACATGTCTATAATAGAAAGTGAAGTATTCCTGCACAGACACACTTAAAAGAGAAAGAAATAACCAAACAATAAATCTGTAAGAGTCTAATCCAATTACAAGTCGCTCATCAGTGTTTTAACATCCAAACAAAAATGATCTAAGCAATACGTTCTGGTAAACCGTGTGAAGCTGAAACACATTATAAAGATGTGACCCCACCCACACTGATGATGTTTGTTTTCAAGTCTTTATCTTTGGTACTTAGGCTTTTTCACCAACAGCTAATGAAAATATGGTATTGATCAAGAGGTTATTTTGGAAAAGCTACTTTATTTCTGACAAACGAGCATCATCAAAATGCATTTTGATGAATCGGGGGCTCACCGACAGCGGATCACTAAAAACCCTGATCTGCCTATTTTGACCAATATTGTATTTTTTTTCCCTCTGAAAATCACTAAACATGTCAACAAAAGTCAATCTAAATATTAAGGGAATCAGAGCCAGATTATCAGTGCACCCCTGGACTGAAGTGTGTGAGTTAACAGACTCACCCTGAAGGTGGGCTTGGGATTCCAGAGATATTCTTCCTCACTGGGCCTGCTGAGGGGCTTACTTAAGTGAGTGAAATGATAAGGGGAAAAAAATTAATAATAGGACATGATTAATATGACAGGGTGAATATTTGTATGCGTATCTGTGAATCGCATAATTAAACTTAAGACATACATCTTAAGCTTTTTTTTCTGAATTGATATACGTCTGTAGAGCATTCTGAAGCAGTTCAAGGTTTTGATTACTAAGGGAGCAACCTGTTTGGCAATATAAAACATTTCAAATCCAACTCCTATTTTATAATAAACATCAACAATACATTTTATTCTACCAGGAGGAGCCAATGCAGGTGATGTATAATGTGTATTTATTGGCATTCTGGTAAAGACGTGTAAATAATCTTAAAATATTTATTTTATTACATTTGCATAATACCCCCCTCCCTCATGCCCCCCTCTTAGGCAAGTAACTCTATTACAAAATCTGCTACAAACACACACATTTGTTGACTGTGAATATAGCAGTTTATGATTACAGATGAACACAGCTGTGCTGCCTTACCAGAGTACTGTCCCAGGGGTCTCTGGGGCACACGAGAAGAAGTTGAGGGGAGTGCTGATGTACCAGGAGGGGTTGTTTTCTTTACAGGACCAGGAGGCTTAAACTGAAGACAGAATGGAGGCATGACAACATGAAAAACACAAGCATTCGGCCAGGAATTTCATAAGGAACGTTGCAACATACCGTGGCCGTCATGTAAAATATAATGCCTGAAGTGTATCAGTGGAGTTTAGCTCTGTACCAGGAAGAGCCTCGCATTCAATCTTACTGATTTGATTTGGAAGTGGTCTTTTTTAATGGAATTTAAACAATTAAATCATCACAGTTAAAAAGAAGCATAAAAGCCTCCGTCAAGAGATGTATATGAGCAATACATTTTGAAAACAAAAACAAGAAAACGTACCAAGCAACTGTTAAATTTAAAAAGACATACAAGATCTTTTTGGTATTCTATAAACGCTGCAAAAACAAAATTTGCACCATTTTCCATCCATCAGCTAACTTCAAATACTTTGATGTGCTTTTTTTTTTAAAGTTCAGACTAAATCAAATAAAGGTTGGGGTCGTATGCTTTGATCCATACATTTAGATAAGAATTCAAAACTACTATCGCCATCAATGAACTTGAAGCACTATTTTTTTCTGTTATGTCTTATGGTAAAAAATAAAATGTTGAAATCAGCAGATATAAGCTAAAAAAAAAAAAATAAAAAAAAAAACTTTATACTTGCAAAACCTCTGCCTGTTGTCTTAATTGTAAAAGGGAAAAAAAAAAACACACTCTGCTTCATTTGGGCGAAATGAAAGTGTGTGTAGGGGTAGAGCGGGCGCTATGTGAACGGAGCCTATTCGTTCTCAATGTAGCAACCTGTGGCTCAATTCCCGACTCTCAAAGCTTTGCTGAATGCCTCTTCCACTTGCCTCTTTACCCATTTCCTTTTATAATCTAGTGCCAGGAAAAAAAAAAAAAAACTTTTAAAGAAATAAAAATAAAAGAATCAACCGAGCAACAACAGGATTTTCACTTTTGATTCTTCTTTTGTAACATTTGAATGAATCAATTGACACTTGAGAATGTGTCCAGCTGTATCATCCCTTTGTCAAATCACCAGTCAGGATAATAGACAAGAACATCACATTACCTCCAGGTCATTTCACAAGTCATTCCAAGGTACAGTTAAGCAGATCTTAACTCTTCCTTACGGTTGAATTGCAAAATGACATGTGCACTTCCTGATTTCTTGCTCTCTTAGCTAAAAGTTAGTTTATTAACAGTAGCATAGCATTTTTATTTTTTTTAGGTGGAGGGGATTATTGGGGTATCTTTTCATGAAGTTTCTGTGTTTGATATCTGACTACGTCACACAAACTTTCTACCAGAAAGACGGGCGGTATGCCCCGACTGATTTGGTTACTGTTGTGCATGTATGTGCATGTGTGTACCTGTGTGCGAAGCGGAGTCTTCTTGGCATCTACCAGCTTGCTTTTATTGGGCATGCGGGCAGCTTGCTCCCGGCAGAAATTGATGTGTCTGTCAGCGGCATTCTCATTGAACCTCCGCTGACAGTAAGGACACTGGATGTAATCTACAAAGCAGGTTTGGTACGTACATGGCGTGTACTTTTTTTTTTTTTCCAAAGTAAAAAAAAAAAAAAAATAGATAAGAATCCACCTGTTCCTTACCTGGATCGTAAGTTGGAGGAGGAGGTGGGGGTAGAGGTGCCCCCACCCTCATTGCCTGAGTGGCGGCCTTGGCAGCTCGAATGGTAGCGATGAAGTCCTCATGTTTCTTCCGCCAGTTGGAGGGCTTCTTCGGAGGTTCGGCCTGGTGGGAAACAATATTGTTGGCATAGATTGATTCTGATCGGTACGTCTCTGTCGTCAGTTTAGAATTTGACACTAAGAAAATATTTCTACGCAGCCCTGATTTCCAAAGTTCTTGTTTATCTGGGAACTTTTAAGCCTGGAATTTCCACCCCTGCTCTGATACAGTGAATATGAGAAATGCATACATCAGGCTTGCTTCTTAGTGTACTAGGATTAAAAAATAAATAAATAAATAAAATAACTTTATGGCTGCAGTCCAAGTGTTATCTAAATCTAATCATTTATGACAGAAATAGTTCAGTGCACTCTGTCTGGGTTGGCCTGACTTCTTATTCCCTCCTACAGCTGCAGTGTTCAACTGCATTATGTCCATTTGTTAGCATGTACTTCTAATATTTCACATTAAATACAACTTTAGAGGGTCAATAAAAAATCTGTAGAATGTGCCAGTTTCTTTATCCTAATTAACTGATTCCTCATCTGAATAATCGATCACTAAAATAATCGTTATTTGAAGCCCCCCTTATTTTTCCGCACTTTTCAATGCAACTTTCATGACATGTTTGTTTTTATTTTTTATTTTTTTCTCAATACTTTTCAAAACGCCAGTGATGTGTCTCTTTAACTAAAGTTTTTCCTCTTAATACCAAGGAACCAGAAGCCACATTGAAGATGCGAGTTGAAAGCCAGACAGCATTGAGAAGACAGATTCCTGAGTCAATTTCTGATGAAGCGCAAGAGTTTATGCAATTGAGATTGACCTCATCAGAAACTGTAAGGCACGACAGAGAACAAATTCAAATTCGCAAGGAAGCTACAGTGAGAAATTTTCTTTATTTGACAAGCCTGAAGGGACCGAAAAGTTGCAAGCAGAAGACATTAGCAGTAAGAGTCATGGCACAAGACTTCTTTACACACAGAGTCCAAAACTGAAACAACTCCGAAAAAAATCCACAGATTTTTCTCATTATACTGACATCACAAATATGAGTGGTCATGCTTTCAACTACCATTCGTTCCAAGGGTATAAGTGAGTATTCAGATTGCCAGAAAGTGTGAGCAAATGCAAAACAACTCTATATGAAAAAGAAAACAAAACCAAAGAAAAAAAAAGTAAAGCAAGTGAACTTACTTTATGTGCGGCAGCTGAAGTTTGTGACTGAAATACAATTGACAATGTTTTACAGTTGAAAATAGACGCAAAGATTTATGTACAAGTTGTTCATCAAAGTAAAGATCAGAATGCTGAGAATATTCTAACAATTAACTTGGTGCTGGGATCCAGCACCGATCTAGTAGTTTTAATATGATATACGATAGAGTATTAGCACCATTGTTGATAGAAAATAATAATAATAATAGTAATGTGATCACTCGGGAGTAAATTCCCACCAGAAAACGTAAATGTTTATAGAATAATTACGCAAATTTAATGATTCCAAAGGGCTTCAGCTGGATTTGCTAAAATAAATCTAAAAAAGGCTGAACCATCTTCACTGTTGGAATGTTACGCCCTTCATGTCACAACTTACCACTGCTTTCATCGGTTTTAGAACGCAGATGTCTGTGCCTTCAGCTCTCTGCCGGCTCGAATCAAAAACTCTTCTCCTTTTAGCCGCTGCCTTTTGGCAAATTCTAGCATGTTTCTCCTATTGGAGGAAAGATAAATACATTACTGAAGAACATGGCTCCAATACAATATCCCTCCGAAACCTGAACGTGTTGAACAATTATTTTGATCATTTAAAGCAAGTCGGTGAAAAGGTCAATTGATCTGCTTTTCTGATGCAAAGATTATAAATCAAATGTGATTACGGTATATTAACACTGCTTCCCTAAAACCTGTACCCTCTCTATAAAAGCTTTTTTTTTTTTTGGTAAACAATAATACCTCTGGGTCTGTCAGCTGAAAATGTGAGCGCCTAGCAACTTCAAAACCTTCAATGTTTGAACGGCCTGAAATCCTCCCTGGCCAGGTTTGGCTGGGATAAAACACACCGACTCAATACAAATCGGACAAAGTATTTGGAAGAAAGTTGTTTTATTTACCAGGACACTGGGGAAGAAACACCTTTTGCAGATTTTGCACTGAGACAGGTCCCCACCAGGAGCTTCACCATCTGCAAGAAGACCAGATAAACAAATGAAACAATGCTAACTCTTAGTTAGACGAAGAAAGATGCTTAACTTGCAATTGTGTGGCTGATACTCAAGTATTGCGTTGGAACGATTTGAGTTTGCGTGATAATATTGTGCTCTTCACAAGACGCATTTGTTTTTAAATGCAATGAATAACAAACACATTCAAAACTGTAAAGGGAATAATTATACAACTTTGTTCAATAAAATGCCTTTTTGACGACGCCCCAGTGCAGTTCATTCATTAAAATGCTCCATCGATAGAAGTAAAGCTAATACAGGGCCACTTTTATAGCAATAAATCACACCCACCCTAGTTAGCAGCTAGCTTCGTTTTGATCCTAACATTACCTTAGCTGTACTTGGGCTAAATCCCAAACAAAAGAGGGGGAAAAAAACGGTAAAGCAATAACATTTCAAATGGTAGTTCTGAATGTGTAACGCTGAGAAGCTGCAAGTGCGAGTTTGGCAAAAAAAAGAAAAAAGAAAAATACACAAAGGAGGAAAGCGACATCTATTTAGTTTACCTTGAAATTCTTCCATTATTGGGTTATTCTCTTGTCTGATGCTCCTGCCGTTGACGCCGAACAGCCCAACGTAGCCTGGGCGATAAAGAGCAATACCTGCGTCTCACTTCCGGTTTCGCAAAAATGACCGAAACAGCCAAGGATTTATGGAGAAAGCAACATTTTAGCCAATCAAATAAATACATTAATTAATTAATACATTAAAAAATAGTAAGTTTGAATTTTTTTTTTTTTTTTTTTTACAACATTTCGTCCATGTACAACATTTACATGTATTGTGTTTTTTTGTTTGTTTTAATCTTTTTTATTTAGTTTGTTTTGTAATGCCATGTTCCAGTACAACTACAATAATAATAATAATAATAATAATAATAATAATAATAATAATAATAATAATAATAATAATAATAATAATAATAATAATAATAATAATAATGTTTAGCCAACCTGGGACTTGAAGAATAACTATCTTGACAGGACTCATCTTTGGGTTTAAACAGTGACTAACGTTTTAACATCAGCGTTTTCTATTGGTTGATCTATCAAACGCAACCAATAGAAAACCAAAGCACTGCTTTGGTTTAGCACTAGAACAGACGGGGCGTGGAAGGAATTATGACCTCAGAGTTTTTATTTATTCATTGATTTAAAAATATATATACATTGGTCAAGTGGCCCGTCAGTGCATGGGAATCAAGCGTGTATTCCTTCTTACTTTTACAAAAATCAAACATTGTCAATTGCAGTGAAATAATATATGTGTGTGTGCGCGTGTTTTTCTACATTAGTTAATAAAAAGGTGCTTAATAAAGCAGCCCTGAGACTGTTACTTGTTGCGACTGTGAATCCCTGTTTATCTTCCAATGGAATATCATTTGCTGTGTATACAAACAGCCTGATAGTATATTATGTAACATTGTTTTAATTCCCAGACTAAGAGAATCAGTGTTGTCCTTCTGGCATATGCTGGGTCAAACATTTGTCTCCAGGCAAACACTTGGGAGTTCACAGTTTGCCAGATGGGGAACATGTGTCATCTGAAAGAAGCGCTTCACAAGCAGCTGCTATGAGAAAGCACAGAATTGAAAGGATGCATCTCTGCTCATTACAATAAGACCACTGTTCTAAAACTGACTGTTCTCTCTGTGCTCTGTTTCACGCAGATACTTTCACACTTTTAAACAAACAACTACTGCTAGTAGCAACAAGACTTTGACTGTCTTGTACTTTCAATTCAAGTACCGAAGGCAATATAACTCTTTCCTCCATTTTTTTTTTTTTTTTTTTGTTCTTAAAAAAATTATTCTGCGTTTCTAGCCATTAAGAGAATCTCTACACCTCTACAGCCCCTTGATTCTGAACCATGAATAAAAAAGAAATAAAAATAGTCTTGTAATATTGTTGGATAAAAGGTGCCGTTAAAACCTAAAGACGGAGAAGAAGTAACTGTTGCCTTTTCTTGCTTTTCTTGTTTGTTTAAAAATACTTTATGTATCAAACATGACTTAAAATAAATTGCAATTTGATGCAATGGAATTGGCTTCTTTCTTGAAGAAGCCCTGCCTCATTCTGATACTTTTTTTGATACACCACCAGGCTGCCCCCTTCCACAATGGCACCCTGAGCAGTGAGCCATACTGCTCAGGGTAAAGCTTCAAAATAAAGTAACTATGAATAAGCTCATACAGTGTCTTAAAGCAGTCTTACACGGTTTGGGGCTTTGTTTTTCGCTGTCTGTTTTTATTTTACTTTTGTATCTAAATAAGGCGCCGCCTTCATGCTTTAGCTCACACAGTTGCACAAACAAGGCGATCCGCAAACATAAGTTCGTTTTGGATTTTATTTTGAAACAAAGGCCCGGAACTCAAATGAGCTTTACTTCGAACTCTTGCAGATGAACCGGAGGTTTCCCGGACTCGGGCTGGAGCAGCGACTGACCCTCGCGAGTGTTCGGAATCTGTGAGGCCCGGACCGGACAGGTACATGTCTGATCACGACAGGGATCATCACACGATGCTGCACGGGGTGCACGTGGAGAAATCGCGCGCAGAACGAGTTTGCGTGCGGTTTGTGTGACACTGACCCGGCTCTGCCTGATTGGGTCTTTGTCATCAGCGACAGAGAGACAAATGGCCTGAAATCAGCTGGAGACTCATGATTGTGCCGCGGTATTTATAGTTGCACATATTTATTAAGCCTAACTGTACGTTCATTATTATTATTATTTTTTTTAAGTGACTAATTGTAAGATGTATAGAGTTTTACTGAATGAAAGCATCAAATAATATTGTGAGTTGCAAATTTAAACACCGTTAGTAATTCCAACTGAAAAAAAGAGACACAATATTAATTTGTGAAAGTATTGTCATAAATATAGCTAAATGATCTGACAAGATCAAAGTTGAATGGGGGCCTAAGCTGAATTCTCTCCTGGAGATAAGACTATTATCTACCTGCCTGGTTAAATGTTTGCACAACTTGACTTTAGAGGTAGCTATAACTACAACACTGAATTCACCTCTGCATTGTCACATCAGTCTTATTTTATTGGTACAATTTGCTAAAAAAATAAAAATAAAATAATGATAATAATAGAAAATAGCACACGTGGTAAGGTGTGGAAGGTAAAAGCTGGATAGAAAGTTTGGTAATTGGGTGATTTCTGTGACATTTGCTCTTGCCCTCAAGTCCAAAGCAGAATCCTAAGAGATCGGGGAAATGGCCTAGACGAGCTAACAGGCCTGTTTAGAAAGATGTCACCGCTACTTAAGGTTTATTTTCACACAGTGGTGTTTGTGGATGTGTGCTATGGTTCATTTCACAGGACAGTATAGCCTTAGTGGCTGTCAAATGCTTTACCAAAGAAGTTTTTTTTTTTTTTTGATCATCTGCAGCTCAAATCATAGTGTAAAAGGAAGCACATAAATAAACCCAACTTAGTGAGGCTTTGATAAACTTGTAAGTAATGAATAAAAGCACTTTCTTTCTTTAGATTTTCTGTGTGAACATGAAATGGCTCTTGTGGTCTTTGGGCTCCAAAGCACCGGCAGCAGGAAGCTGTGTACAAGACTGGCCTCTGTGAGGAATCAAATCTCTGGCGAATGTTATTCTGGGTCTCCATTTCATTAACCCTCCGCTTTATTAATGCTATTGGTGTTTGGCAGCACAGCAAATGAAATGGTTCCAAAGACAGATCAGCAGATTTTTTTTCAGGACTATAGCAGGCAGAGAGCCCATCTTGGCTCTTGTGTTTTGCTGTGCTTTGATCATTAGTTTGGAGCTACAATTATGTCCAGGCCAGGCCTCAAACTGTCTAAAGTGTCAACAAACAATATAGATACATAGCAGATGTGTGTAAATGCTACTAATTTTTAATGTAACGGGATAGTCACTATGTTTTTTTATTTTTTATTTTTTATTTTAGCTGGCGTGAGGGTAAAAGACTGAAAGGTCAGGACAAACAAAGTAGGTCGTTATCATATCTGAATTGACTGTCCACTTTCCTGCATGATGTCACTTTCCCTGTCTGGGCTCGCACAGCATCTGTTGGGTTTTGTCAATTCTGACACCATGTTGAGAATGACAGCTGGATGGGAGTGCGCTCGGCTGATGGCGGATGAGACGTTCGGATATGGCATTGGTCAGTCAACGCCTTCGCGGCTATTGCTGCGCATGCATTGATCTGGAAGCAGGTCAAAGCATGCGCTTTTTTTTTTTTTAATTTCTGAAATTTCTCTCATTTTTTTTGTATTTACTCTTTTGAGTAAATGCAAAAGTCAAGAAACCTTGATTATTATTATTATTATCATTATTATTGTTGTTATTGTCGTGGTTCTAGTTTGCAAAGTTGTTGTTTTTTTGTTTTTTTTCTTCTTATGAAGGATTTCCAGTTGGGTGCAGTAAAAAGAAATCTGTGATTGACAGCTTTGAAGAAGCAGAAAAGGGAAAACAAAGCCTGAGCCTGATTATTACTAAAGCGCAGCCTCATCCAGCTGGGTTTATACAGAGAGCTGCAATGTCAACAGAGAGATTTAACCTACATCTCGGTGCTATGCAGCTTTCAATGTACTCCAGTGTGCAAGTTGACTCCTCGTTAATTACCCCTTTGACTGAGCATTTTTAGTTGAGCTCTGCATTGGTTTAGCAATGTCTTTCTTTAAGTTGTCCTCAGTGTTCCCCACCACAGTGGACATCTTTATTTCTGTTGAGTTGCCTGTACCCTGGACTGAGATTAAAATAGATTAATCAGGGATTAGGTTGTGAAATAAGAGGCGAGGGAGGGATATATTGAACGAGCGTCTGGAGTGTGTCTCGCTTTCTTCTGATGTGTCCTCCTCACACACGTTTACTCACCGAAAACCTCCGAGACGCCTCTGAGTTTCGTCATCCTACCAAAATGCTGCACACGTTTACACCCGTGTGAGCCTGGAGCTAGCATTAGGTTTGTTACTGTGTGTGTGTGTGTGTGTGTGTGTGAAAAGGCAATGCTATGGTGAAGCGTGCCAGCGATGACGGATGTGGAGGCCACTTACGAGGACTTCATCGCGTCTCGACGATCCGGCCGCAGGAACGCCATCCACGAGATCCCGGGAGCCCACGGGGCCGCTGACCTGTCCCAAACTCTGGCACAGCTTAACATCAGCAAATCTGGTAAGACCTAAGAATTCAATTTGGCCTGGAATTGAAGAACTGTGCAGTATTTATTTTTTTTTTACTTTCTATGATAAATATGAAAGGAATGCAAGTATCTGTGTACGGGTACAAGATTCAAGCCTGTGCGTTCAAAAACTATCAGCATGTCCACTCCGGGCCCTCCCTGTAGAGTAAGGAATGGCACCCAAGTATTTATCTGTTTTGTCTGTGATGAAGCCAAATGTCAGATTTTCAGTACTGCATTTGTGCATAGCTACTTTATTTCAAAGCAGAGTGTGAGCACAAATAAAAATTCCCACATTTTGACTTCACCTCTGCTCCATCAAGGTCAAACCAGACTACCTTCTGTAGGAAAAAGATGGCCCTGAAATGTAATATGAACGAAAAGGTGCCCTACTCGTGAAACGTCTTGTCTAACCGACCCTGTTTCTGTTCATAAGGGGATGAGGAAGCGGACGC